CTTCAGGAGATGCTCAGTGTTCATGTACTGGGATATTGTGTACATCTTCATGTATACATGGACCTATTTTTTTTCTTTTTCTCTCTCTCTAGATATATGTGTATACATACACATGCACGCTCACACACTTTATATATATATATATATATATATATATATATATATATATATATATATATATATATATCTATGTGTATATATATCTGTGTGTATGTGTATATATATATATATATATATATATATATATATATATTATATATATATATATATATATATATATATATATATATATATATATATATATATATATATACATATATATATATATATATATATATATATATATATATATATATATATATATATATATATATATATATATATATATATATATATATATATATATATATATATGCGTATGTATACCACACACACACACACACACAAACACACACATATATGTAAGTACATATACAGTTATATATATGTATGTTTATACTGACAGACAGAGACGCATATGTTATTTTTATCACATCTGCGCGTGCGTGTGTGCTTTCGTACGATTGCGTGTGATTTCGTGTCTTTGGCCGCGTGATCCGGATCGAGACCCGAGGCCATCGCGAGAGCCGCCGCCTTCCGCCCCTGCCGTGCATGGCCTAATGCGTGTTATCCCCTTTAAAGTACTCGCCTTGAGGGACCTTGCATTTACTCCGCTCAAAACGGCTTCTACGACTTCTCGACGCAAGAAAAAGGATCTTGCTGTCTGTTTTTACATCTGTCTGAGCTTGTGGTCTTGGATGGGGACATGTTGCCGCCTAGTGGGTGCTGTATTTCTGTGTTTGTGTTTGTGTATGTGTGTGTGTGTGTGGATGTAACTATGTACGTACGTATGTATGTACGTATGATTTAAACCACACAGGCATAGAAATACAGTGACTATGTACGTATGTATGTATATATGTATAATCTAAACCACACAGAAATACAGTACACATTAGATGATATATATAAGCGTGTGTGCACCTGTATGAGCGAGGCCGCAAACCCGCCCATAAGAGCCAGAAGGCCTCAGCTGGCACGACCAGTCCCCGCAGCGCATCACGGGAGAACGGTGAAAAAAAAACTTTTTCTTGCACATTTTCATTTGTTTTACATTTTCTTTTTCTTTTTTCGAAATGTTCTTCCTCTTTCTCCTCCTCCTTCTCCTGCTTCTTTTTCTTCTCTTTTCTCCTCTCGTCTCCTCTTCCTCCTCCTCCTTCTCTTTCTCCTCTCGTCCTCCTCTTCCTCCTCTCCTTCCTCTCTCTTCCTCTTCCTCCTCCCCGCCTCCTCTCCTTCTCCCCCCATATCTAGCCATTTTCTCCTCTCTTTTTCCTCCTCTCCTTCCCTCTTCCTCAATTTCTTCCCATTTTCTCTTTCTTCCTCTTCTCCCCCTCCTTGCCTTTCTTCTTCCTCTTCTTCATCTTCTCCATCTCCACCTTTTCCTTCGCCTACCTGCTTAATAACGAGACGAAATTAATCAGCGATGATCACTGTCTCGGATAAATGTTGATGTTTTCGAATTATCCGGATTTTGCGAATTAATGTCGTTCTAACCGACTCATTATTCCGGTTCCGTAATTACCGTATTTTAACGGCCATTATTTTCAAATTTGAAATGGAAATTTATTTTTATTTATTTTTTTTTCAATGTTAATTCACGAGTGAAATACTGCATAAGTGTGGTATTTGTAGCGTTGTTTAAATATTTAAAATTTTCGAAATCCTTTTAATCGGGAGGGTCATGTTCACCTTATTAATGTGTCAAAATATAAACATGCGGGAAATATCGAGTTGAATAAAATGATTTTGTTGTTATTGTTGTTGTTCTTGTGTGTGTGTGTGTGTGTGTGTGTGCGTGTGTATGTTTGTGTGCGTGTGTATGTGTGTGCGTGTGTATGTTTGTGTGCGTGTGTATGTGTGAGTGAGTGTGTGTGAGTGTATTTGTGTACGTTTGTTGTGTGTGTGTTTGTGTGTGTGTATGTGTCTGCGTGTGGATATACATACACACAACAACAACATTATCAACAGCATATTAATGTTAAACTCGAAATTCCCCGCATATTTATATTAGAACTTATTTTATACAAGCTGTAAATATTGAGATACAGAAAAAAACGTTAACATGCTGTATTTGGTTTTATGATTTTTTTTTCTATCATGGTAGATTTACATGTATGTTTTGAATCTGCTTTCCTGGGTGTGACCAATATAACGTCATTATACACTGAACTGTTATCGTCTATGTTTCCAATTCTTTTTATTTTTCATCATTTTTTTCAACGCCTCCTTCCTCTCTTATCTTATCTTATCTTTCTGCTTCTTACCTTTCTTTCTTTTTAACTTTAAACTTTCAATTTTTTTCACTTCCATTTCTTCTTTTCCCATACTTTTCTCCCTCATTTCTCTCCTTCCCGTTCTCCATCTTCTTTCCCCTCTTCATTTTATTTTTATTTAGAATTGAATTTGACCTAAAGAGAGAGAGAGAAAAAAAAAGAAAGAAAGAAGGAAAAAAAACTTTGACAGAGCGGTTAGTTACAGGAACAACATGAGAGTTCTTTGGATACGCTGGAGTCGACTGAACAACATGGTTCCAGTTATGTTTAGACGAGAAGGGTATAAGGAGACCTGCGAGAAGTATCTGGTTCTTTGCTACGCTTCTGCGTATTCTCTCTTTATGGGGATGTGTGTGTGTGTGTATCTTTGTTTGTGTCTGTGTGTGTTTGTGTCATTGTTTATTTGTGTGTGTTTGTGTCTTTGTTTGTGTGTGTGTGTCATCGTTTGTTTATTTGTGTGTTTGTGTCATTGTTTATTTGTGTGTGTCTGTGTCTTTGTTTGTGTGTGTGTGTTTGTGTCATTGTTTGTTTATTGTGTGTGTTTGTTTGTGTGTTTTTTGTAAGTGTCATCGTTTGTTTATTTGTGTGTGTGTGTTTGTGTCTATGTGTGTGTGTGTTTTAAGGTCATTGTTTATTTTGGTGTGCGTGTTTGTGTCTTTGTTTGTTTATTTGTCTGCGTCTTTGTCTGTATGTGTGCGTGCGTGTATGTGGATATATGCTAAAAAAGAGACTATTTGAGACTATTTTGAAGAGAAAAATGTAGCGTAAATCCGCCTCACTGATTCTGTGGGCGGCCACACAACAGAGAGAAACACTCAATAACGAAAAATTCTGCGCCGCTCATATCTATAATGATCACTTCTTGCGAGGAAGAGAGTGAGGAAGTGGGTGAGAGAGAGAGAGAGAGAGAGAGAGAGAGAGAGAGAGAGAGAGAGAGAAGAGAGAGAGAGAGAGAGAGAGAGAGAGAGAGAGAGAGAGAGAGAGAGAGAGAGAGAGAGAGAGAGCGACAGAGACAGACAGACAGAGAGAGAGAGAGAGAGAGAGAGAGAGAGAGATAGAAGATAGAGATAGAGATAGAGAGAGAGAGAGAGAGAGAGAGAGGAGGGGACAGAAACACAGACAGGACAGAGAAGAGAAGAGAGAGAGAGAAAGAGAAGGAGAGAGGAGAGAGGAGAGAAGAAGGAGAGAGAGAAGAAGAGAGAGAGAGAGAGGAGGGAGAGAGAGAGAGAGAAGAGAGAGAAGAGAGGGCCAGACAGACAGGACAATAGATAGAGAAGAGAGGACGAAGTTAGAAAGGAGAGAGAGAGAGAGAAGAGAGCAGAGAGGGAAGAGAAAGAGAGAGAAGAGAGATGAGAGAAGAGAAGAGAAACAGAAGAAAGAGGGAGAAAAAAGACAGACAGAGAGAGAGAGAGGAGAGAGGGAGAGGAGAGATAGAGAGGGAGAGAGAGAGAGAGAGAAGAGAGAGAGAGAGAGAGAGAGGAGGCAAGAAAGACAGACATAGAAGAGAGAGGAGAGGAGCACCAGACAGAGAGGGAGAGAAGAGAAGAGATGAGATAGATGATAGATAGATAGATAGAAGAGAGAGAAGGAGAGAGAGAGAGAGAGAGAGAGAGAGAGCGCGCAGACAGAACAGATAAGACAGAGAGGAGGAGAGCAGACAGCAAATAGAGAGAGGGACGAGACAGACAGAAAGACAGACAGAACAGAACAGAACAGAGAGAGAGAGAGACAGATCCTTTTTTTTCTCTCTCTCACCTCTTCCTCTACCCTCTTTCTCTCATTCTTTTCCTCTTCTGCTCATGTCCGACAAGGGAACGCCACTCCGCCACTCCAGCTCCAGGTCTTAATTTCATTACGAAATCTGTTTAAAGTTCCCTAGCGTCGTCTATAATGCACGGAAGGAAAGAGGGAGGGAGGGGGAAGGAGGGGAAGAGGGGAAAGAGGGGAGGGAGGGGGGAGGCAGAAGGGGAGGGAGGGGGTGAGGGCAGAGGGAGGAGGGGGGAGAGGAGGAGGGAGGGAGCGGGGAAGAGGGGAGGGAGGGGAAGAGGGAGGGAGGNCTCATCTCTCTCTCTCTTCTTCTTCATCCTCTCTCTCTCTCTCTTCCCTCCTCTCTCCCTCTCGTCTCCCTCTCTCTCCCTCTCTCTCTCGCTCTCTCCTCTCTCTCTTCTCTCCCCCCCCCTCTCTTCTCTCGTCCCCCCCTCCCTCTCCTCTCTCTCTCTCTTCTCTCTCTCTCTCTCTCTCTCTCTCTCTCTCTCTCTCTCTCTCTCTCTCTCTCTCATCCTCTCTTCTCTCTTCTCTCTCTCTCTCTCTTCCGTCCTCTCTCTCCTCCCTCTCTCTCTCCCTCTCTCTCTCTCTCTCTCCATCTGTCTGTTTCCGATTTTTTCCAATTTCACATATAAACCAATCCATCTTCACACTCCTTAACATCTCTGAAAAAAAAGACAACTGCAAAGATCCCATCCAAACAGGGGACAGACAGGTAACAAAATCTGAGGTATGCAAATGATGTCTTCCTCATAGCCGGGTTACCGAATGAACAAAAATGACCTAACGAGTTTTAGGACAATAGAGAAAAAAAAAAACAAAAAAACGGGCAATTGCAGATGCTGAGAATTTTGACTTCGAAGC